AACCAGCAGCCCCAGCTCTCCTGCCTAGTACAGCAGGGTGTGGTCACCCTGCCTGCCCAAATCACCCCATTCCCCTTTAAAACTTCAGACCTTTGTCCCTCTTTTGAAGCTTATCAATGCAGGGCTCTGCCCCTTGGGGAGATGCTGACACATTGTGACAATGGCTTTTGCCCAGGGCTATGGCCAGTCCCAAGCTCCCAGCCTGGGACACAGCAAACAAGCAGCAACAGGAACCACCTATCAGTCCCCCATCCTGGATCACCTCCTGGCCCCGTCCTTGCACAGCTGGAATTGGCTTTTATTCTGCATGGAGGGGCTGGAGAGGGGAAGACAGGACAACGAGATGGGACACAGGCCAATTGTCTTTATGTCCTGTGCATAGAAAGCTCTGTTAAATATTAACTGGATAAAAAAGCAAAAGGTGCAGCAAAATATGGAAATTCACTATGTGTTTAGGTGTCCCTAAGGGATGGTTGGAGGATGGAAGGCCAGCACCTTGCAGTTCCTGCAGGTGACACTAGATGGCACAAAAGCACAAAGAATGTGCTGCAGACAGGCAAGAAAGGCTTGTCATTTCCGTAGGGGGTTTAAAAATGGATGTCAACAGGACAAAATGTAATCACTAGGCTTTCCAGAGACAGACCCTGTGGGACATCCCCCATGCAGGTCCAGATCAGAGCGTCCAAAGGATGGGGGCCTTCTAAATAGTACAGCCTGGCTTAGGGAGCCCTCTTTTTTCTCTATGCAGGCCTTCACTAGGCTGGATGTAATCCATCCACACTATGGAACAATCTGCCAACCCAGTGAGATTCTCATGCAAGAACACTCTCCAATGTGAACAACTTTCACATCCACACTGGAACTGAGAGGCCATGTCTTGCATGGAGATCCATGTCTTCTGGCTTCCCCTCTCCCAGTAGCACGAGGTCAGGTGTGCAAAGCCATGACCTAGCACTTCCCTCATCCGCCCAGATCAGTAGCCAGTCTCTTTCTCCTTTTCTCACTAATCACTGAGAAGGCAAAGGAGAGAGACCCACACATGGTCTAAAGCAAACCTTTCTTAATTTATCAGACCGTCTCAGTGTATAGTCTCACTGCTGGCTTCAAACTTGGGGTAATCCTCCTGCCTCAGTTTCTGTCAGAAATGACAGCCTGCACACCGTCACACCAACTAAACAGAATTACCAAGGGTGATTACCTGTGAAGATTCTGTACTTGGCAATTTCAATATTTTAAAACAGCTCTTCAAGGTCTGAGAATGAAGGTAGTGGTTAACTGGAGAGGAAGCAGGTGTATTCCACCCTCCCAGCAAAAGACAGGAGTAGTTGTCGGCAGGAAACAGCTAGCAAATCTGCTGACAGGAGTCATGTTTACTTACATAGAAGCTTAACTTTTCCCACTGGCAAACCTGCTAACCCAAGAAATTTCTACATGACCCCAGGTACTGGGTCCATGAAAGACAAATTAAACATTACTGGTAATAAATCATAAAGGTATTTATTTCAAAATGATGAGGTTATATGAATGAGATGAATGCGCTTACATTATATAATTCTGGGTGAGTATCTGATTCTGCAGAATGCAGAACACCTTTAGCATCTCACAGCTGGTATTATTCCAATTTTATAATCAATTCAGAACACTACATAAACACAGTATGACGTGGAAGTGTTTAGGATCATTCCAAAAGTGCTGGAAATTCTGCTGTAACACCAAATCAAAAAACAACCCTTTAATGAAACTCAAAACTCTTGAAAAGCAAAGCCAGAGGCAAATGCCTGTGATCCCAGCCTTGGAAGTTACAGCATCTTCGAGTCACTTAAGGCTGTCTCAGGAACAAGACAAGATCCAGAGTAAGACCCAGCAGCAACAGGGTCCTGAGGAACGAAGTGACAACTATTAAGTTCCTACTCAGCACTTGGGAGTGGAAGAGGAAATGACACAGGCAGCTGGATCTCTGGGTTCCAGGAGACTACACAGTAAGACCCCGTTCTAAATAAACAGGTATGTAAGCACATACCTGTAAACCAAGTATTCCATAGATGAACACAAGAGGATCAACACAAAAGTTATTTGAAAAACAAAATGAATGAAAACAATTAGTGAAACAAGCCCAGCTCCCTTCCAATGCGTTCAGTCTGTCAATTTGTCCTAATGCAAATCCTTCACCTTCCAGCCTCCACAGGGTCCAAAGCTGGCCTCCAACTCACAATTCTGTCACCCAGATGGTGGGAGCACAAGTGTGCCCCCCACAACAGATGGGGGGCACTAACAGATGACCACGCACTAACAGGTGCTGGGTCCTAAGACAGGAGAGTGATACATTCAACAACTCCAGCACTTGAGAGGCTAAGGCAAGAGAGGAGACAGAGCGGAGACTGAAAAGGGGTTACTCTGCCAGTGGAACCCTAACACAGGACAGCATCGCCAGCAGACTGTGCCAACAGTCTCTGCAAGGCTTTATCCCTCAGAGGTTAACTGTCACCCCCTAAACTGCTACAGGTGAACTCATCGAAGTCTGCAACAGGGCCTGTACCCCAGCAAGGCCCAGCAGGTGGTCTCCACAACATTCAGATCACACCTGCACATGCCAGGCCCACCTGCATGGTCCCCCTAACGAAGGACTGCTGAACCATTCTCCAGGGTCAACTCCTTGTCTTCCAGCTCCCTTGCTTCTTGATAAAAATTGATTCTCGGGCAGTTTTTGCATGAAGCCTCACCTTGCTGCCAGACTCCTAATGTACTAATGAGCTTAAAAGGTTCATTTCATAATGCCTTCACTTTTTGTGTGTGCCTCCCCGATCCCCACAGACACAAGACAGTACCTTACTTGTATTGGTAATGGTAAAATTACACAATTCTTGCGTCCGAAAGTAGAAAAAGAAACTGCTCAGTGTAATTTTGTAAATAAATCCATCAAGTGGGACTATAGAGAACTGTTTTTAACATATTTCAAAAATGCTACTGAGTTATGGTCCAGACTTTCAACAGTGACTAAGTATTGTCATCAAGTATCTGGTGTCTCGGTCACCAGGAAACATGGTCCCTTTTAGAGGTAGCAGTCTAATGTCTATGATCACTCTGGCCGCCAGACACCACCCCCACCCCAGACTACTATACAGAATCCCTCACCTACTGGCACATTAAGGCATAGCTTCTTAATTTGGAATCTGGATACTTTCCACGCTGGAAGTCAGGGAGTAATGGGCTTTTTTAAGGGGTAGGGGTGGGTGAGAACACACAACTTTCTCAAATACTAACCTAAAGGGCTGGTGTGCTTTCTAGTCACCAAAATTAACCACATTCAGTTCTGCAAATACACACCAAGCCACGTGCTCAAACCCTTTAATACAGCTGTGTCACAAGCAATAAACACTTCTCTTTCTCTGTTAGGAGACTCGTCATGATCATACACCAAATTCATTTCTTCAGCAGGAACAGTGAAGTTCGATATTCTGGTCCACAGGTTGATTCAACATCATAAAGGCAGGCAGACAATGAGATAAATACCGAATGTGCTGGAGACAGAAGAAACACCACCACCTGGATTCTGCCTAAGTATGCACACTAAGGGCTTCACACCACCTTCCAGGCAACTCTATTTAAAATGCTTTTAGTCATGGAATAACAGTGGCACCCAACAATACACCTCTGCCCAAGGCAGCATGCCAACATGCAGTAACATGCTCATTCCCAGCTGCCCCGGGCAACGCTTGAACTGTTTTTCTATACTACTTGAAAACCACTGACCAGCACCAAGACTTCCTGGGTCGAGAAGAGTGTTCAACACTTGCTTTTGTAGCGGAAAGTAGTCCTCCCACACACAACTAGTGTTCAAAGGTGACAACACTGAAGCCCCACATCGATTACTTAAAACAGTCTTGACTTAATTGGCCTCAAAAAAAAAAAAAAAAGAGGCTGCATCTCTACCCTCTCCAGAGTCACCCCACCCAATGCACCTCTCCAGCAGTGCCCTACCAGTCCCGTTCCCACCCTACCCTCCCTTTGGCCCCCTTATCCATATCTGGGCTGATGCAGGACTTTCTAGGCAGTGAAGTCAATGTCTTGACGAGTCACCATCATGATTCTCACCTCTGGGGTGGCTCTATACCCTACCCCCCCCCCAACACACATGCCTACCTAGAAAGCACTGTTTTAAAAGGCTCAGGATCAACAGCCTGGCAAGGGCTTATAGACAGGCCCAAATGTGTGCCTCCGGGTCTGGCATTCCACCAGAAACTACTAGAGCAAGGTTCTTACATGAAACGAGTTCATGTAACTCGTTTCCGAAGTCATTATGTACACACCAACCAGAGGCAGAAACTAGTTAAGCCTTATTCCAGGTTCTTCCTATGTGCACACATGACCATCACAACAAACCCATGGAAAAGGTGAGGAAAGCCAAACAAGTCTAGGGCATGGAGGCCAACGAGCTGCTCCTGAGAATGCTGCTCGGTGAGCAGATACCAGCACAGACCCCAAGGCCTTCACCCCTGCTGATTCAGCCAAGTCTCTGTCCAGATGACACCCCGTCATCCACGGGAGGACTGAAGAGATGCACTCACTGGTAAAGGCAAAAAGGGAGTCAACACTTTTACATGTCGACCTTCACAACTGCCCCACAGACAAGCTCCTGGTTAACTGACATAGTAGGAAGAGAATCACTTCCATCAGTAACAACTGACAAAGCAGCTATTCCACTGCGAGGTTTAATTGAGAAACACCAAGTCAGGCAAACATGCAAATTCTGAATATAAACAAATGAGTGCAAGCCCTGGTTGTTCTGAAATAACCGTCAGTCAACAGCTGGACACTCAACGGAACCAATTAGGCCTCATACTAAAGAGCCACCCCCGACGCTCTCAGTCTACAGAGCTGAATGAGCAGACAGCAGGCAAAGCTACCCACAGCCAGGTGCTTGGAATACTAGGAGTTAATGCCCAAAAGACATTAAGCCACAGATGCACACGGGGAGGAATGTTCAAGAGTAAACAGAAAGAGACGGTCTCTGTAAGATTTTAATGCTCAGTTTTCACAAACACATGTTTCTATCCAATTTTATGACGTACAGTAAAATGCACTAGTCTTTAAAAACGGGCATTATCCAACTATCCTTCATGTTCTCTTCCAATCGTTCAAAACTCATCACCGGGCGTTTTTATCTCAGTAATACTCCACTTACTGTATTTACATTTGAATTCCATGTCATAAGAATAAACGAAATCCATGATATTTTGGTTAACTCAGTGTATTTATAAAATGAAAAGTCCTATCAAAATACTTTTCACTGGAAAAAATAAATAGAACAGACAATGGATCTACTCAAAGCACATATTCACTTTGGTAGACTTCAGTGTAGGACAGTTCATGACAAGCACATTTGCCCTTATTCCCCCAGAGCCGAGCAGCTTCCAAGCTAATGGTTAAATCAATTTTAACAGATTTTATAGTGTTGATATCCGGCTCATTCCACATCATCTTCAGCCAAGCTCTGAGCACTTACAATTCTCTGAAAGAAAAAGAAAACTAATTGAGAAGTGTCTAACTTCAACTTCGACTAACTCTTGCTCAAGTTCCCCCATCCTGGCACAGATCACACACTTCACACATTGCTGGGCATGGAGACAGCACCACAATCTCGCACCAGTGCTGCTGAGGGGCGGGGACTGGTGGTGGTGTTGGGGTGTCACCACACAAGCTTCAGTTTCACACCAGAATCCAAGTGAATGCATCAAGTACAAGACACAATGCTCTTTGTCAGTTATGTAGTAATCTACAGACTTCACCCCGACACAAATCAAGGACAGCACTTTCTACAGGTCATCTCCCTTCCAGCTCCCAACCATTACAAGGAGCAATACTGCCTTCCAAAATTAACACCCTCCCCGTCAAATCTACATTTAACTGACGAAAAACAAGGTAATAGAGTAATACAACCTGTTGGGAATTTAGATACTAAAGGCAAATCTATGCCATTCTTCCAGGCTGCTTTGGCCTGGACTTGCCTTGTTCTCAACAGTCCCTGGACTGGAAGCTCAAGCACCAGTGGCAGTACTGAGAATCTGGGATGGTAAGGCCTAGGGGACAGTGATGAGATCTGCCACGTACCACTCTCCAGCTCAGTTCCTGAGCGAACAGCTCTTCACTGCCCACTCCACACAGGGCCGGTTCCCCTTCCAATTCTGTGTCACACTGACATAGCCAGGCGGCTCCTGGACTGATATAGTTACAACAGCTAAAGCATGTCCAGAACTTAGGGACTCAAATGTAAAGACCTTATTACACTCAACACCAACCATGTACACTTATGATTCACATCTGATACAGGTCTGGATCTTATGCTATTCACCTGCATAATTAGGAAAACCATTTCCAGGTCTGGCATATCCAATATTATATGCTCAGCAACTTGCCCCTGAGCATCTGGTCCTCAGACCAATTCATGGGCTACTCTGAAGCACTTCAACTCCTTACCTGACTAATGGTTGGAAGCTTGGTCAGAAGCATCTGGAACACTGGTGGTGGAAGAGTCTGCTGTAACACTTGCAGCAGCTGCTGAGGCTGCCCACACACAGCAATTGCATTTGTCAGGTGGTCTACACCGTTCTCGTAGTCACCTGCAAGAGTGTACAGAACCACATGTTATCTGAGGCCGTCAAAACGTAGTCACCAACAGATCAAATCGGGGCAAGTAAAACAACTGGCAATGAATTTCCCTGCACCCACGAAATGGACGTATTTCACCAGCTGACTGCTGTGGAGAGTGGGGCGCCAGCACCTAGTGCTTCAGGACCTCTCAAGCATGGTCAGAAATAGCTCAATCTCTGCCCTAGTGGGAATTATGGCTATCCCACCTATACCATCAGGACACCAGCTGACTGTGCTGCCCACTGCCACCTGGGTTATGTGCAGCCACCACTCTGACTTGCACGATGCCCACCAGGAGAACCTACGCACGAGACCGTGGGACGAGAGCTGAAGCTGACTGAGGATTGGCTTACTCAGTTCCTACTCAGCAGACACCAGGCCTCTTCTGAACCAGCTCTGCTCATCTGCGCTGGAACTGCAGCTGGCCAGAGGACTAATTCACTCCAGGCTGAAGCACCACCCTGGTGCAGAGAACACAGTGCCTGGGCCTCCCTAGGACACCTTGGAAAATCTGTTCTTCTAGTTTTCTTCAAATTGGTTTTAATCTAGGAAAAGTCTGGAAATAAGTTTGCTAGTTATTGGAATACAGGAACACCTCTGACTTTTGGTGAAATCTTCTCTTAGGAAAAAAAAAATGTAAGAAGTTGGGGCCTGTGAGGTGGCTCAGCAGGTAAAGATAAAGTAAGCTTGGATACCTTAGTTCAATCCCCAGCCTGACCTAAGAGTGGAAGAAAACTGTTTCCAAGTTTTCCTCTCTCTGACCCTACACCAACATGTGGAATTCACATGCATCTCCCACAAACACATTGAATTTTAAAAGGGTTAAAAGATGATCGCCACTATAAACTCTCTCATAAAACAAACACAATATACATTACGCATGAAATTGCACTCTAACTGAATCCAGTGTAAAATTTGAATACCAATTTTATTAATGACAGCAACAACTTCAAAAATAGTTCTGAATGGGAACCATCCTGTAGCATGAATAATAAAAACCCAGAGACAGATACTGGAGTTCAAGCTGCAGATCAGAAGAGCAAAGCAGCCAGCTACTAGAGAGACCTTTTACCTCTACCAAATCTTCACCCTGAAAGGGTGAGGTCCTGTGTCTTCCCCTTTATATTTCTTTCTCCACCCAGCCATATAATTTGTCTCCACCTCCCTAGTGCTGGGATTCAAAGTGTGAGCCACCAACACCTTGATCTGTTTCTGGATTGATCTTTCATAGCCCATGGTAGCCTTGAACTCACAGAGATCCATCTGTCTCCCGAGTGTGCCACCACTCTGGCTTCTAGTGGCTTAGCTTTGCATTCTGCCCTTAAGGCAAGTTGTATTTATACAAATAAAATATCACTACACACCCTATAGTATAGAACAAAATGTTGCCCAATTCTAAAAAAAAAAAAACAAAAAAACTATTAAGATATTTAATATCTGGGCATGGTTGACAAATGCCTTTTAATCCTACCACTTGGAGGCAGAGGTAGGCTGGTCTACAAATTGAATTCCAGAACAGTCAGAGCTGTTACACAAAGAAACCCTGTCTCAGAAAGAAAAAAAAAAAAGATAAACAGATAAGTAAGACCAAACAACAAAACAAAACCATCTTTCAAGACAGGTGATTGAATAAATGAGGCCCAAAGTAATTAAGTATCTAAATTCTGGACCATGTAACTGATCAGATCTGAAATGAGATGCTAGGATCACCTGCTATGATGACTACTCTGGCTGTTAACTCGACTAATTGGAAAATTAACTGAAACCCAAGCAGCTGGGCACATCTGAGTTATTTTTCTTGGTGGGACTATCTAAGGTTGGAAACCCACCCTCAATCCTGGCCACACCTCCTGGAGGCAGCGCACAGACAAGACAGAAAGCTCTGCTTTTCTGCCTGCCCTCACTCTCACCGGCAAAGTCAGCTATCCCAAGCCTTTCGATGGTGTTAGAATATACTTCACGATTACAGTGTGAACTGAAAACTGGCAGCTCTCTAGGACAGATCCTTGGCCTTTCTGTGATGAGAGGCCATTGTTGGGACTAGTCAGACCATAGCCTATAAACCACTCGTGTGTATGCGTGTGTTCATTCTACTGGTTGTGTTCCTTAGAGAACCTCAGTACACCCAGTGAGCCCAAGTAGGTGAATTAACACGGGGGTGGGGGTGAGTTGCTGATGACTAGGTGAGTGTTGGCAAACTCGCACCGTATTCACTCAGTCACTATCTATACTGCACTACGGACACACACACACACTCACACACTCTAAACGACTTCAGAGTCACCTGTAAAAGTGAAGCTGTCTCCTAGCTCATCCTCCACTTGCTCTGTGACAGAGGACAGGAGCCTAAGACTCACCTAAAACACAGTGCCACACAATGGCAACCCACAGTCTGTCTTTCCAGAGTCAGCCTTAGTACGAAGCACCTAGAAACTCACCTTGGTAGAATCCTTTTTCTAACATCAACTATGCAAAAAAATCCTGTCATAAATTTTTATCAAGATGAATAATTCACTCTACTTTCTGAATCCTGGAATGACTACTACCTTGTGCTAATAACTCTTCACCAAGTTGTATCTCTTCAAGGAAGAACTTCTGAACAGCTTCAGCATCCTTTAAATCTGGTAACTGGAAAAGGAATATTTAGAAATTAAGCCGAGAATACAACCAACACACAGAATGCCAATGAAATTTAAAAATGACACTGGTTTAAAACAAGTCTTTTATCCCAGGACTCAGAAGGCAGAGACAGGCGGATTTTAATTCAAGGCCAGCCTGGTCTACAGAGTTCCAGGACAGTAGGGACACACAGAGACCCTGTCTCAAAATGCCCTGCGAAAGTAAAACAATGAAAAACACCAAAAACAAAATGGGCACCCATTCTAAGAACAAAAACTTAGTTAAAAAAAAAAAGCTAAGAAAGCTAAAAAGTACAAGTATCTACTCTACATAGTCTTTATATGTATACAAATCTATTATTTATCTGTATCATCTATACAATGCTGTTTTGTGGCCATCAAGCACTATCATCCATTCATTTGTTGCTGGAACTTGAGGCTGAACCCAGGGACCCTTGTATACTACAAAAGCACTCTACTACTGAGCTATATTCCCAGTCCTCTATATTTTACAGGACCTTACCAGGGTGGCCTCAGGGGACCCCAGGTCTGCCAGACACACCGCTGAGAGGTGACAGCAGACCCACTGCATTTGCTGTCATCTCAGTGACTTCTTGTTTTTATAATGAACCATAAACAACTGACAGGAACAGAGCACAGCTCAGCGGTAGAGAGCTTGCCAGGCAGACAATGCCCAGCTCTACCTCTCCAATCTTAAATAACAGACCTCCCGTCAGCCTCTCACACTTACACACAATCTAAACTTATCTCCCCACATGTATCCTACATCCTGGAAAAGTAGTCTGGACATATCAGGAAAACAACAGCTCCCAGCTTCGATTCACTAGAACCATATCCTGCCGGCTATGCTGATCACTCATCTGGTTCAAAATAACAAAGCCTAACACTTACGGATCATTTTCCTGCCTGAATGAATGAGCTTCTAAAAGAATGATTCGTGATCCATTAGTTCATGTTCTACAAAGAAGTAATGTCAGCAAGAAGGAAAGCGACATGTAGCGTGAACTTGCGTTTGCTCAGTTCAGACACATCCCAGGCTAGTTTTAATCAAGTAGATTAAAAAAAAAAAACAAAAAACACCCTACATAGTCATTGAAAATTAGTAACACAGGACCCAAAAGGAAATTATAATCTACAAGTTACGATTTTTTTCAAAAAATCCATCAGAACCTGGCACAGTTCTGGTCCATAGGCTTAAAAACTTTAAAGAGCTTTGGGATTGATACACAGAGCTCCCTCTGACACTGTAGACAGTCCACTGGGCCGCCCAGGATGCCTGGCCTGAGCTCTTCTCTCCACACTAGGGTTCCAGGTGTGGCTCTTTCCAAGGACACCAAAGGAAGGACTCAAATGCTGCATTTTAACCATTCTGAAGTGGCTGAGAACACACTTACTTCTTGGTGCCCACATCCCTAGAGACCCCCCCCCATCTTGCTGCTTCTCCAGTAAGATATTTGTCACCACCACCAAAGAAAATTTAGCAGGCACGGATAACCTGCTCTTACAAACACACACAGACCACTTTATTACCTTTGAAAGCCCAGCTCTCTCCTTAGCAAGCTTCTGTTTCTTTCTTCCTACAAAAAAATAAAATAAAATTTCACTTGGCTATCGTCAAATCGATCAACACATCTGATTACTCAGCAACCATTTAATTCACAAACATTTCTAACCCCAGAACTTCTGCCACCCTGGTCTGTGGTGAGTGGACTGGCATTTCTGGACAGCAGCTTTCTTTACCCCTGCGTCACCAGGTCTAGCAATTCACAGGACAGAGACAGTTCCAACAGCTGCACCCCAGCAAAACAAAGCTCCCTTTTCAAGGTAAAAGAATTAAGCATTTATTACTGAGTTATACTGAATTCTAGCTTTACTATTTTTAAGAATTACCTGACAGTCTTAAGCAGCATGGCTTTGTAAAAATAAAATATCTGACTTTAGTGGGTTTTATTGAGACAAGGTCTGTGAATCCAGGTTGGTCTGATCTGTTACCAGTCGAGGCTCCTAACCTCTAGATCCTTCTGCTCCAGCTCAAGCGCAGGGATTACAGGCGTGCAACAAGGTCCCAAGGTCCCAGTAGTATTTGGCCATAAAAGAAAAGGGTAAGAGGTCGTGCACCAAAATGCATTCTGCTGCCTATGGCTGTTTAGTTAAAAACTACTCCACTGCTCTGTAATGGTGTACTCCATAAGAAAGCACTGGTGTGTGGGAACCACAGCCCTGTTTGTGCTGACCTACACTACAGTAGGTACAGCAACCTGGCCCTCACTCAAACTCATCTAATAATAGTTTCTACACAACTACGGGGCTACCTGGCCCTCACTCAAACTCATCTAATAATAGTTTCTACACAACTACGGGGCTTCCAGCAGGCTTGTGAGTTAACAGATGCAAACATCTGGCAAGAGTGCCTAGGCTCATATTCTGCCTTTTTAGCACCCCACAGTTAAATATTCAATACCTAGAAAGTAACAATCACTCAATACCATGACCTGGACAATAACTAGGTGGCCCAAGTGAAGGGCTCTCTCTATGCACTAACTGGGTAAATTTTAAGTTAGAAAAATCTAACTTCAGCCAGGTGGTGGTGGCACACGCCTTTAATTTCAGCACTTGGGAGGCAGAGGAGGTGGGAGGATCTGTGAGTTCGAGGGCAGCCTGGTCCACAAGAGCTAGTTCCAGGACAGGCTCCAAAGCTACACAGAGAAACCCTGTCTCCAAACCCCCCCCCCAAAAAAAGAGAAAAAAAGAAAGGAAAATCTAACAAAGAATAAAATAAGAAAAGTCTCTGAAAACCTTAAAGTACTCTATGAATCCAAGACTCAGCGCATGACTAAAGGACCTGTTGGTCAATTCCTACAATGTGAGAGCAGGTGTTCAAGATCTCCTGCCCTCAGTCCCTGTACAGACAGACACACACCATTCAGACAAAAAGTACTTTGAAAACAAAGCAAAACTGTGTAATAAGCAATGAAAAATACAATGTTCTAAACCAGAATTTTGGGAAAATAAAGACAATGAACTCCATTAGTTTTCCATAGCCATCTAACTTACTAACATGGGGCATGGTATCATACAAGGGGACAGGTGATGACAGACTGGGAAAAACACATCGGGAACAAGGTATACATCCAATCAGCAGAATCAAGCCTTGCTTTTTATTTGCTGGTATTAATCTCAAATGACACTTGTAAACTTGCGATAACTATATCCACTGGGTGCTGGGTGGCAGAGGTGGTGCACTCCTGCACTCCCAGCGCTGGGGAGGAGGAAGGATCAGAGCTCAAGGACAGCCAGGATTAGGGACCTTAAAAAAAAAAAAAGGATTAGAGACCTTGTCCCAAAAAACAAAAAACCCCCGTGCAAAATGAAAGTTCAGACACACCCCAAATCCAAGACACTATCTAACATGTACCGAGTCGCCCATCTAATGTATTCCTGAATGGAGCATAATGGAGCATCTTTCACAGCGCAGTCACAGGAATGAATGCACCTGAAAGCAGCACAGCAACCATTTAGATGCTCAAGTCTTGGGGGGAGGGGGAGTGAGGATCATCTGCTTACAGAAGTCAGCTGATTAAGACACCTAATCTAATATCAAACACTTAATTTAAGCTCCTTTTCATTAAATATCAAAAAGAAAACGACGTGAGAAACTAGCCTTTTACTGCAGATGTAAAAGGGTCAAAATCAACTACTCAGATTCCTAAGACTCACTTAACTGCCGATGGCTTTAAAGAGACTGGAACTACTCGCTATTATGCAAAAATTTAGGAAATTCTAGCATTCATTAATAGCATTGTCAGGTACTAGAGATCCCGAAAGTGTGGATTCCTTCGGGCCTTTTGTGCCATAGCTGCAGTTACTAATTCACTTAGGTTCTGGCTAATGTTAGGAGGAAAAAACCAGAACAAAACAAAACAAAACAAAAACCCACCAACAACACAAAGTGGCTACGACAGATCGTGATAGGAGAGGCAAGTGTTGGAAGACCGCGTCTGAAAAAGGCCGTGGATTCAATCACCAGAAAGGTAAAAAGGAAACGCCGGTAAGATTATTCAGAAAACAAGGCTAGCAGGGCTTTGTGCCCCAAGCCTTTAATTCCAGCACTTGAGGCAGAGGCAGGTTGATCTCTTGAATCCGAGGCCACACTGGTCTACAGATGGAGTACCAGTCTCAAAACAAAAAGCCCCAAACAACCGTAATTTCCCTGAAATGACAATTTACGATTTCTTCAACCAAAAACCATTTTCTTAAGATTTCCAAAGGAATTAACCCGCTTAGCTATCTCTACCCGGCAAACCTCTTAAAAGATGTCGCAGGTATGAAATAAGGCTGAACCACGTGAGGAGCGCAGCCCTTTGGACTCCCCCGCACTTTCTCTAGCATTCACTCATATCTTGGAAGCACCGGAGCGAAGCCGCCAAGAGGGTTTAAGAATGCAAGGATGATCCCGCGCTGCGGATTGAGGCTCTGGCGAACGATTGCGCACACATAGGAGGCAACCATTTCGGGGTAAGGACTGGTTTAGCCATGTGGAGGCGCCCGTCTGTAAAGCCAGCAATGGGAGGCAGCACGAGTTCGAAGCCAGCCTCCAAACTGCAGGAAACACACGGGAACAAACAATCTCTTCCAACAGTGAAGGAGGTAGGGATGGTTCGTGACTGTTATCACAGCCCTCGAGGAGCTTGAAGGACGGCGGCTGCGCCATGAGGTCGAGGCTAGCGCGGGCTAGTGATTCAAGCCAGCCTCAACGACACAGCAGGCCCCGGTCCCAAACACGCACACACCGCCCACAAGTCTAATGGAGGCTGGGCGAGGTGGCAGCTCATGCCTGGGACAATACCTGGAAGGCTAAGGCGAGAGGCCTGCCATGACCTCCAGCCCACCCAGGACTAAAGAACCGTCTTAAAAATAAAATAAAATTACAGACGGGTGGGAGGGACACACTACCCCTCCCGGGAGCCAAGCGTGCCTCCATCCCGTCGCCTGCAAGATGGAGCCCAGGTCGTCTCCAAGATGGAGGCCAGCGGGCACGGGCGGAACCCCGGGCGCAGCGCGCGGCCGGG